TTTATATATATATATATATATATATATATATATATATATATATATATATGATCCATTTTTCCTTTTATAGATATAAACCTATGTGTATATATTGCACCAAAAGGCGAATCCCTCGCCCCCAGGGCCCCCATCCCTTGGCCCGACAAGGATTGATGGAGGATGTAAATCATAGTAACTCAACGGCCCGTTAAGGTAGCGGACCCAGACCTGGTGCCCACAAGGAACCAACCCTCATTTGGAGTTGAAATTCCCACACTGCGGCTGCCAGGATTCGATCCTAGGACCTTGCACCAACTTACCACCTCCGGAACCAGTTGAGCTACACCCATGCGGGCCTATTTGTATATATTGATTGTAAAAGAATGGAATAAAACATACTGGTAAAAATGCCATTTCTTTAAAACAAGTATCTGCACAAATCGTTTTAGTTTAAGAAAGATGCATTTGCACATTGCACTCCAAATTTGGATTTTGTTCTAATTTAGTATTTGTCTTATGCATTATTACATTATGTTATTGTATGTTAAGGGAATAAAAAATAACTATGTTGGTTGTATTGCATTTTATTTTCATGTTGTCAATGTTGGTTTGTATTTCATTTTATTATTAGTGAATAAAAAAATATCAATGTTGGTTTTGCATTGCATTTTTGCCTCAATCCATTCCATTTTAAGTTCTCTTTAGTCATAATTTTCTTTGTCCATATTAAGTGTCGTTTTAGAGTTTGAATGTAGGATAAATACCTTTTGTCCAACTTTACCCTACAATAAAACTAATGACAAATTAATAATGTAATAAAAACAATATGAAAAGTCACAAGTGAGTAATTATGTATAATTTTTCATTAAGATGAAAAGTCACAAATGAGAAATTTTTAATAAAAGTCATAAATATAATTATTTTTAATTGTTGTTTATTAACCTTAAACGACATTTTTTTAAGAATACCTTAAACAACATTTAAAATGAAACGGAAGGAGTGTATGTCAATATATAATTGTGTATCCAAACCTCATTCACAAAATTGTCTGTGAATGTGCTTGAACAATTGTTTGACAATACTTTCCTTTGGAGATCCGTTATAGAAGAAAAATATATTTTTAGTTTTATTGAGGGTCCTGTTCTGAGGGGAGTCGAAGTAGGCAATCAATCACCTAGGGCCCCCAGATTTTTACAAAAATTTGGGACTCTCAAATATTTGTATACACACTTTATATATTAGTACTTAATCGAATCCTCTTTTTTGCCGATTGAATGCATTTCTAAAGTCCCATATTTTGTAATGCCCGAACTCTTTACATTTTATAGAGGGTTGTCGAAATAAGCAAGAATACTATTTCTACGGAAATGCTAGTGATGGGGATCTCAATCGAGATACCTGAAGAGGGCATTAGATCATCGTTCTCGTGTTCTTGAACCAATTGGAGTGGAATGATGAATCTATTTTTTCGTCTCTTTCTAAATAAATCAAAATTCTGGTAGAGACCGGTCTCACCTAGGAGATTACACCACCCATACATATAATTATAATTCCACTAATTAAGGTCTGAAGAATCAGGAATCCTATCTTTTTTTACCGTAAAAATTTGAAGTAACTAATTTTTTCTCAACTAATCATTTGTTCCTTTGTTACTGAGAGGTTAGAAGTAGATCTTCTCTCGACAGAACGAGGATGCACACTCATTTGATCTTGAACCTTGTGGAACAAAAGTGAAACTAGACTGGATCTGCGTGGCCACTTAATAATATCTCTAAATGACTTGTTTTTGGTAATAGGTGAACATTACCATATGTAAATTCGGGTGCATGATACACATATCGATGCTCCAGTGCATTTTCCCATTAGAGTCAGAATAAATATATTTTCGAACCTTCTCTTTAAAATTCACAATGCATGTTCCCTGGCGAATCTCAACAATTACTTGTTCTGATTCTGCATACTGATCATTTCGAACTAAAAGAAAACTTTGGTATGGAATATTGACATTATGTCGAATATCTTCACTCTCAATAGTTACATACAAATTTATAGAACATAGATCGGGATGTCCATGGCGTGTATGTGTCAATAACTTTTGTGTACGTATTTATCACCAACAAGACGCCTAATTAATTATATTAGAAAACACAAATTAAAAAGAATTTGAAAAATAAGAGAAAAAGAAAACCATCAATCTTGTAAGAAAACTTTGAAAATCGACGATATTGCATTATAATTAAGTTTAGGGTAAATTACAACGAACTCCTAAATTAAGATCAAATTACGAAAAAACTATTCATGTTTGTATAATTACAACTACCCTTAACGTTGAATCTTCTTACACGTCCACTTTTATGGTGTCAAATTCAACATATCTTCTAAATTCCGTGGAATGTTCTCTAGTTTGTACTCGTTTTGTGCAAAAATGCAGTTTATGATGCACCACAATCTGATATATATATATATATATATATATATATATATATATATATATATATATATATATATATATATATATATATATATATATATATATATATATATATATATATATATATATATGGAGCATGCACAGACTCATTCGCTTTTGTTATACAAATTTTACGTGCCCCAAAAGAATAATTAGTTTTGGTTTTTTTTTTTCTTGTGTGTGTCTTTTGTTCTCCCCAGGACCCCGTGTTATCAAAGATAGTCTCACATTTATAGTGTGAGGGCGCACAATGATTGATGGACAAATGGGTGATTATGCTCTTTTGTAATTGTCTCTCGCTCTCCTTTTAGATCTCTGAAGATGTAGGGATTGATGATTATCATTTTGTAAAAACACAGAGGGAGAGTGTGGTTATTTTGTAGGTGTCTCCTCTTTTACCTCTAGATCTCTCCCTCAGATGTAAGGATTAGTGTAGACACTCTGTTATTTTGTCTCAAAATTTAATTTTAATATAATTACTCTAGTATTATTATAATATTTTTTTATTTTAAAGCACATATTTTGTATTTTGCCCACCAACCAACTTGGTAGTGCGTACTTCTTCGACCCGCTAACCCGCCCGCCACCCGCCCGTAACCCGCTACACCCGAACCGTGGAGTGTGTGGATATAAATACGCTTATGCAGGTGGCGAAATTGGAAACCCGCGGGTGGCGGGGCGGGTTGATTTTTTTATGAAAACCCGCCCAAACCCGCCCGCGGTCCCCCCTAGTGTAC